AAGGCTAAAACGTTGTCAAATAAAGATTTCGAAGAGTTTCATTTGATAAGAAGACACGAGAAAGCTATCAAAAAAATCTCTCAGACCAAATACGACCCCCACCCGCTCTCCTCCCCTCGCTTCATCGACAAACATGACCCCCATTTACGATGTGTCCTGCTAAGTGGATCAGAAATACCGCGATCAATTTCATTGCAAATCGTTGGACCACCACGCTATCTCTAGCGGATTTCGCCATCTGTGCCCGAAATGAAAAGATGTTCATGGAGCAAGGGTGAGATCGATGGGATGTGTTTACCCAAATGAGCGATGCGATTAGGCTAATTATGCACTTAGTCAGCGTTCCATTACAGGATATGCCGTCTTGGTTACCGGAAACTGGATTGAGTTCTTCTGTTCGAGAAATTCGAACAGGAATTCAGGGCGTTGGTGTAGTTGGATGCAGCATATTTGCGCAGAGAACCCAGTTCATTAGGAACTTCTTCGAACATTTTTCTTTGGCGCAGTCAGGCTTGGTGGGAGCACCATCTGGTATGCTGCGAAGCCTGCTTGTGAGAACAGGTAAACTCGTGTAATCAAAGTGGCCATCTTCTACCATTTAGCAACTTTACACGGGTCTCAGCTCTTGCCAAAATGAGCCCTGTTACTTAACATGAACCAGCAAAAATAACCAAAGTGCAAAATGCCCCTCATAAAACGAACAGCGGCCGTATTTCTTTCATTATATTCGGTCACAAATTGCTTTTGTCTTGAGCGTTGAGATGTAAGGCGCTGCTGGATGGTTGATTTCACATAACCCGAGATAACTCGAGCTTCTAACCCGACGCTTAGGCACGAGTCCGCATCCCTTGGCTCACAGACGTCCTTTGGCAGCGTCTAAGTCATCTAGTAGATGCCGTTTAACAGAGAAGGAAACAAAGAAATGGCATGGAAACGGTGCATGTAGTTTGAAAACTCCCGTGCAAAGTTGCGACTACTGTACCTACGAATTTTTGCACAAAAACCCTCATCTAACTATTCCAACACTTTTTATAATGTACGTGAATAAAAGTTACTCAAGTGGGGCAGAGCTGCCAGCAGAATTGGTCCCTAATGTAAAGGTATCATCTATATCTGTGATTTTTCAGGATGTGCTTTTCGACTTTGTGACGAAGCGCGTGATCAAAATCGTTCTGCACACGAATATGCCGGGTCATTACGATTTCACAATGTGAGTCATTTAGGCTTTTTTATCGATCTGATTTACTTTGAATTGAATTTTCAAATGAGGACAGAGGTGGGTTATTCTGAGAGGAGATTTGTCGAAGCCTTTTGGAAACTTTGGTTAGTCTTCATGCCGTTTAAAACTGGGGTATGACTTCAGCAGAAGCTTCAATAGCTTTCAAAAATGGCCTTTATGTACTCGGATAATAGCCAAGGATGACCTACTCATAGCTTGTTCTCATGGTAGTAATTCTGCTGTCAGACCTACGACAACAATCATGGGAAGCTGATT